CTGCTGGGTCAGGATACAAAAGCTCCCCCCCCAAGGTCACCCACTGCCATTTTTTTTCCCCTCACTATTGGGCTTTTAAAAAATATATATATTTATTTGTTTCAAAAGGAAAAGAGAGAGAGAGAAAGAGATGCAATGACATAATCTCCCCCAGCAAATCAACAGCTAGAACCATGGGTTCCCACCAAGTTCAGGTGAACTGGGATCTGGATCCTGGTGTTCCACACGCTCCAGCATCACACAGTAACACCCCTCTATCAGCACCATCGCGGCTAGGCCTCACTATAAATTTCTTTTCTCTTTTTAGTTGCCAGAGGGTACATGTACTCCCCAAAGACACAGAGAATGGGAGAAAGTACCTCTCACTATGGTGTGCTCACACCGTAATCCCTTCTCCATTCTGTCAGGGCTTGGGGCACATATGTACACATGCTGGTATGTTTTTCACGTCACCGGGACCGGGATTCAAACCATGTTCAGCATGCGTGATATGGCTCCCTTAATCACTAGGCTACAGGGGGTCAGCAGCTCTGGATTTCTTTTTTAATTCAATGTGTGTAATCACTGGAGTCAGCTGGTGACATGGTGGTTAAGGAAGCTGGATCCCTCCTAGCCAACTGCATAGTTCGAGTCCCAGACCTAGTAACTTGAAAACAGGCCGAGTGCATGTGCATGCGTGCCCAAAATCCCGAGAGGAGAATGGAGGAGAAGAGATTGTGGTGTGGCCTTCTTCCTGGAGGATAGTTTCTCACTTTCTCTCTCTCTCTCTGGCAAGTTCTCTAGCAAATTAAAAAGAAAAAGAAAGAAAGAAAGAAACGTATATAGTCACTCAGAGTCATTCTTTTTGTTTGTTTTTTAAATCTTTTGCCAGAGGTCACATGTGTTGGCTGGAGAGACGGAGAGCAGGAGAGTAAGCTGGCCCGCTGGGAGTCATCCTTCCCCACAGTTACACTGTCTGAAATCTACCTAGTGAAATCCTTGCCCGCTGTCTCCTGGGTCCACTGACAAGAATCCAGTCTATGGTCGCTTCCTGGCTATGTCTTCCAGTCTGTCTCCCTGGCTGCAGACATCACCCTGCCTGTGGCTCTTT